CACCACCACTACCACAAGTTCTATGCTATTATATAGAACTATAATTGATCTGTATAATTTTTATCTTGTATCCTGCAACCTTGCAAAACTCAAGGAAGCTTTGACCTTTGTTTCTTGAGTACTTTTTCAGCTAGCCATCTTTATCTTCTTTCAAGACTCCAATGACATGAATATTAGGGGTCCCTGAGTCTGTTTTGTGTGTGTGTGTGTCTGTTATTTTCTCTCTGTTGTTCAGATTGCATACGTCTGTTTTTCTATCTTCCAGCTCACTGATTCTTTTCTCTGTCCATTCTATCTCCTATCATATCCATTGATAGTTTATTTTGTTTTTGTGCTTTTTCAGTGTTAAGATTTCAATTTGGCTTTCTTTAAATCTTTTATTTCTTTGTTCATACTTTCAAATTTTTTTTTTGCCGAAATTCACTTTATTTTTCTTTTGTTTCAAACATATCTGTAATTGCTCATTAAAGCACATCCCTTTTGTGAAGTCAAACTGCTGGGATAGGATTTCTAACTCCCAACCAAGCCTCCACTTAGTTGGGTTATCTTCCTGACTAGGAGAATTAGGAATGCCTTGTTATTGCTCCCCACGTGGTTTCAGTGACATGATGAAGATACAACAGTGTTACCTTTGGACAGTGGTGAAAGCCCTGACTTCTCCACTAGGATTTCTCTGACACCATCCCAACAGACAGGAAGAGGAACACCTTGGTACTGCTAGGTGAGAGTGGAAGTCTGAGCTCCCTTCATGGTCTCGACTGAAACCACAGGGAGCCTTATTTACTGCTCCATAAGAATCTAAGTCCCAGGTTCCTACCTGAGTATCTCTGTCGCCACCCTGGAAGGAGGGTTGGGACATCTACCACAGCCTGGAGAGAGTGACAGTCTACTGTCTTCACTCAGCCTTTGTTTGTACGGGTGGTAGTTGGACCACAGTCTTTTCAGTGGTGTTTGGCTGCCATAGAGAGTTATTGTTTAAAAGTTTTCTGTCTTGCTAGGCTACCTTTTTCCTGGCCAATTGGTTTTAAGAGCAGGCTTTTGTTGCAGATTTTTTGTCTGTGCCTAATGGTTTTTCCAGGTTGCCTGCTTCTTCAGCACCTAGTCTGGGATAGATAAGGCAAAAAGAAAACTCAAGGAACACACTGCTATGTCATTCTGTACATCCCAAGGTCCACAGACAATCTGCCTTCTTCTCAGAGTTTTTTTTTTTTTCACTTATTTTATATATAACATTCAAGGTTTTCAGTGGGAAAGAATAGGGGAAAATACGTCTATTCACTCTTTCAGTAAATGGAAATCCTCATTATTTTTAAATTGCTCACCTTATACTTCATTTCCAAGCCTTTCCCAACCCCTCTCTTCTCTAATCACACAAATCATACTCATCTCTTAAAACTCTCAATCCTAACTTATTATATGAAGCCCTCTCCATATCCTTATCTTGATTTTTATCAGACATTTTTATTCTATATGTTAGTACTTTATATATTCAGTCTTCTGGGAGATCTGGGGCAAATCTGTTAATCTCTCTGAGCCTCTATTTTCTTATTTGTGAAAGGCTTATGAGGATGGTTTCCTGACTGTTTCACAGGTGGTTTTTAAGTATGAAATGTTTTATTAAGTGTTAATATTATCATTACTGCAAATGTTCTATGCAAGATTTGTCTTTCCTTTATGAATTACAAATTCTTTGAGGAAGAGGGTATCTTATATTCTCTTTTTGTATTTCTCTACAATAACTACCACAAAAGGTGGAATTAACTTCTTTGTTCTTCCCTGGTTATGCAAAATTTAAGTGCTTAGTTTCTAACTGAAAGGTTGGTAGTTTGAACCTATCTAGTAGCTTTGGAGGAGAAAGACCTAGTGATCTGCTCTCTTAAAGATTACAACCTAGAAAACCCTATGGGACAGTTCCACTTTGTCACATGGGATTGCCATGAGTCAAAAATCATCTCAGTGACACCCCAAAACATTTATCCATCCATCCATTTATCATCTCACTAGTTGTGTTTCTCTATAGAACCCAGACACATACAAACAAAAATATGTCATCTATCTAATTTATATCCCTAAAACAATTTCCCCTTCTTTTTCTATTCTTGGAGAAAATGAAAAGGAAGTAGTTTTCATCTTCTGTAAAAATTGTTTTATTAATTACAGAGGAGAGTAATTAATATATACTTTGTTGTTGTTGTTATGTGCCGTTGAGTCGGCCCCGATTCATAGCGACCCCTCCTTGGGTTTCTGAGGCAGTATCACTACGGAAGTAGGATTGCCCAACCTTCCTTCCGAGGAGTGGCTGGTGGGTTTGAACCACCAGCCGTCTGGTTAGCAGGCAAGTGTCTTAGCCACTATGCTATTTAGCTTCTATATAAAAGACAAAACTATACAGATAAATAGGCTAGAGATAAATATCTTGGTATTCCAAAAATGGAAATTAAGATTAATTAGTTAGAAATAAAATAATTCATAGGTTAAGGAAAATATCCTATGTATTGATCAAATGAAACCTGCCATTAGTGTGTGATGACACTAGCTGCAATATTTTCTAATTAGCTACTTTTACTCATCAAGCATCTGTGGATTACAACTTGGGTTTTCTATGTAGTTTCCACTTAATAAAAAACTGGGTTCATCAACCAACTCCCTATTCTGATCCTCTTTGGGATTAATAAATTGGCATTATGATTTACAGATAACCTCCTGTGTAATGAACAATGTGAACTTCTTCTCTAGAGAAAATCACTTCCACGCATGTTGATAAATACTAAGTTTTAAGATTTGCAAAGCAGAGTATCAAACTGCTATACTACACCAAGGAAGCTCTGGTAGCATAGTGGCTAAGACACTTGCCTGCTAACCAGACGGCTGGCGGTTCAAACCCACCAGCCACTCCTCGGAAGGAAGGTTGGGCAATCCTACTTCCGTAGTGATACTGCCTCGGAAACCCAAGGAGGGGTTGCTATGAGTCGGGGCCAACTCGACGGCACATAACAACAACAACAATATTACACCAAAGTATAACTACTTTGTAAAACCCATTTTAAGTTTTCTAGCTGGCTTCTTGAGATGATATTCACACTGTTCACCTCTTCAAAATATAACATTGGCTGGAGAAATATAGGTACATACATTTAATGTACCAATAATGCAACATAAATTCAATATAGAAGTGGGATAACAAAGTAATTTAATGTTAACTATAATAAGGAATCAATATTGAAATCACCCAGAATATAAACATGTAAATAACTAAATAAACAAACAAACCCACTGCTGTTGAGTCAATTCCTCCTCACAGCCACCCCGTAAAACTGAGTAGAACTGCCCTACAGGGTTTCCAAGGCTGTAAATTATTTGGGAAGCAGACTGCCTCATCTTTCTCTTGGTAAATAAAACCACTGCCAAAATATTTTTAAATACTTTAAAAGAATTAAAAATTTTAAATGAAACACAGTTAGTTCATAAAGTGAATTTCTTTAATTTCTGGGGAAATACAGGCTAAAAAATTTGCTATTAAAAGATTTCAGTTACATTTTTTCCTAACTCTGTGACTGCATATATGAAAAGCATTTTGTATTTATGAAAAGTCAAAACTCTTTGTAGAAGTTAGGCTCCAGAATTTGAACAAAATAAATAAATATTTATTCTAGTGAGCAATTTTATCAGAACTTCTCTAACTTTATATACTTTAGAAATTAACCTAAGGGTTGTAAGCTGTGTTATTTTTGTTTAATAATGGAAGGCATGTATTTGGAGGTACATAAAATAATGGCACTATTTCTGTACACATTTTTCATTGTCAGAAATGTGCTTTGGAAATGTGTTTTTGAATAAAGAAATTTTTCCTGTACTTTCAAAATGCAACTTTTGACTTAAGGTAACAAGAACTGATAAAGGCCCTCACTGTCATAGCAATATTTTACTGTTACCAGAACCACTTTGGTAGCTGCTTTTCTTGGAATATATTGGTAATCCCCCAATGCATTTTTCTTGGTGACTTCCACCAATAAATAAAGCTGTTTCGAAAATTTTTTTAACAATATTATTGTAAAAGACCAATACAGTTTTCTATCAGTTTGGGACATTTTAAAAATGAATATCCCATTTCTCTTATGCTAAGACCCTAACATTTTACCATGAATATTATGTGTTGGTTCTATGAATGCCAAATTTATAAGAATGAACAATCACAAATTTAAACATCTTACTATGAACAGGAAGTTAACTATTATGAATATATTACATATAACAAGATAGGAAATTACAAAATCAATTTTCTGACATTTATTTAGTAACATGGCAAAAAAAAAAAAAAAAAGGAAGAAAAAGATGAAGAGTAGGCAAGAGGAAAGAAACTAATTCTTCCAAAGAAAAAAATCATGTTAGAACTGTATATAAATAATGCAAGAATTGGCCTGAGTTAATAAAAATATAAGAACAGTGGGCAAGACAACCTCTAATAACCTAAAAACTCACAAAAATTACATTTTGCTTTTAGTTCACTTAAACAGACTGCAAGAGGCTACAAGGTCATGAGTAATCATTACACAACTGTGGCTGGTAAACTAGAAAGCATACATGGGTAACATTTAGCAAGTTACTTCCAACTTTGTTAAAACTGACAAGTTCCTTTTTTGAAGCCAAACTGCATTTATTTATTTAACTCTTACTAGCGTAGTGCCTAAGGCACTTACTTGACTGCTAACCAGAAGGCTGGCGGTTCAAACTCACCAGCCACTCCTCGGAAGGAAGATGGGACAATCTACTTCCATAGTGATACTGCCTCGGAAACCCAAGGAGGGCTCACTATGAGTCGGGTCCCACTCGATGGCACATAACAATAACAAGTTAATACTGAACTTTTATAGGATTTTGCCGACCTTTGCTTATGCTGGATTCTAAATGCACCAGTCTAAAAGCAGAATTTAATATTCTGAAACACTGCAAAGCAGATTCTAAAAAAAGCTTAGCAAAATGGTTTAAAAGGTTTACTTTACTTTTAAAAGCATCTGTTGCTCCAGGTGCATGGTTTTTGTCAGGATGAAACTTCAAAGCAAGCTTTCTATAAGCTTTTTTCAAATCTTCATCACCAGCATCTTTTGTAACTCCAAGTACTTCATAGTAATTTTTACATTTGTTTATGCTGTGAACAAGAGAGTGTGTTATAATGTAAATTTAAATGAAGAACTTCATGTACTACCTCTAATTTTTAATTTGTTAGAATAATAAAAAGAACTGTCTGTGGACTGTTTTCTCAGTATCAAATGAGAGCTTCTTCCTTTAAGGGTTAGTTTGCTTCATTTTTTTTCTCAACCACAGATAATTGGTCCTCCAACCAGTCTAAGGACGGTTGGCCATGAGAATGTCCTTGGTGCGATTTATCATGACAAAGAAGCCAAGCCAAGCCCATAGTAATTGTGCATGAAGGACACAGCACACACTATCACTAAAATTAGAAGATGAAAACAGTTTTATAGTTCTCTTAAGTGCATAAAGAAATCCTAAAACTTTTCACAGGTATGTCACAGCTAAGGATTAATATGCATTACATTCCAAGAGTTTTGTTCTCACACAACATACACAAGGATCAAAGCAACAGGTTAGTGCATATAATTGTAGTATCCTATGGTTTAAATATCAAGGCAAATTAATTCAGCCCAACTAAAGAGAATTCATCTGTGTCACTCTTAGGAAAAGATAAAAAGATATAAAATCTTATAAAATATACCATGCAACTCAAAAATGTTTGTTACACCTGCTTTTCATTACAATGAGCACATTCTCAAAGATTACTTACATAGTTTGTAACTTTAGAGACGTAACAGATTTAAGCTGGGACTGTTTATAGTAGAAATAGAAAACAAACACTCTTAATGGAGCAGAGAACATTAAACATAAGAACTTTTGGATGCTAATGTTCTCCCACAGCCTAGTAATTTCCATTCACTAAATTCCCCAGTACATGTAAAACATTATTTTTTGTGGTATACTTTGTGATTCCAGATGTGTTCCATGCAGGGGTTGCTTGATGACAGAGGTAGTAACAGGTGAAAGGATCTGAGGCATAATTGTTCACTGGCAGCAAAAGAAGTACAAAGACTGATTCAAAGTTTTCAAAGAGAGACAAGGTCTATCTTTTTCACTGCTGAATCTATTAGCCATCATAATGCTTGGCACATGGTAGGTTCTCAGTAAATATTCTCTTGGAATAAATGAGACTTAGCTGTCTTTTTACAATGGAAACCATTTGTCATTTGTTATATAAACAAGGGAAAAAAGACATTATACAGGATTATGGAATTTTCTTATCCACATCAACAAAAATCTCTTATGTAGCATTTTTATAGTAATAATAAATAAAACTGGGTTTATCTATTTCAGATATTTAAATAATATTAGCATAAGTCTATTTTATTTCACTAACATGACATTTCTTATATTTATTTAATACTATTTATTGAGTAACAACTATGTCCCCAGACAGGGTTCTGGGCACTTGGGATACATCAGTGAACAAAACAGAGAACGATCCCTGCTTTTGTAGAGAGACCCATTCTCCTAGATATCTTTAGAGACAATGTGAGAGAAAAAAAGCAGGTGGGAGACATTTATAGAACACCTACTGTGTGTCAGGCACAGGTCCACAATCTCATATCCATGTTCCAAAATCCATAAAGCTCTGAAAAATGAAAGTTATTCTATAACTATTTGACTGCAAAAACCTGACTTGAATTCTTTTAGAGGCAAAATCTGACCTGAACAGATGTGAAACTACTAGTCTTCATTTATCCTATTTAAGCACGGATATTTGTATATGTTGCTACAGAAATGGTACTGTTTGGTGGGCTGGTGTCCTGTTGTTGTTGTTATTTGCCATCGAGTCAGCCCCGACTCATAGCGACCCCTCCTTGGGTTTCCGAGGCAGTATCACTACGGAAGTAGGAATGCCCAACCTTAGACCCTGCTAAAATGTTATATTATGAGTAATATGCTCATTATTACCTTCCTGAAGTATAAAAAATCTGAAATCCAAAATACATATGGTCCCAAAGATTTCATGGAGATCATTATGGAACTGTGTTATCCTGATTATTTTTACACAGATTGTCTCATTTACCCCTCGCTGGGTAGATAATATTCTTATTTATTTAACCAATGAGGAAACAGGGGCCCTGAATGGTTAAATAAACTGCCAATTGTCACATAATTAAGTAATAGACGGCAACAAGGATTTAATTATGCAATAAAAATTTACTGAGTACCTATTCTCTGCTAGGTACTGTTTTGGATGGTATTTGTTATTGTTGTTATGTGCCCTTGAGTCGGACCCGACTCATAGCAACCCCTCCTTGGGTTTCCGAGGCAATATCACTATGGAAGTAGATTGCCCCATCTTCCTTCCGAGGCTATAGCAATGAGTAAAACAGACAAAAATCCCTGTTCACTTTAAATTTCATTGGGGAGGGACAGACAAAAAGCAAATATACATACACAATATAAAGCACATCATATCATTTTAAGTATTTGGAGAAAAATAAAGTAGCAAAGGGGAATAGGGATCGAAAGGGGAGGCTGCTATTTTAAACAGGGTGATCATGAAAGGCCTCACAAAGAAAGATTTAAACCTCAGTTTGTCTGACTTGAAAATCCTGCTGTCTCAGAACTAGAATAAAGAAGGAAAGGAGCCCTGTCAGATGCCAGAGGGACCATCCTTTCTTTCTATTTGCTTCTTTAAGTGTTTAAACAGACTCTCTTCACTCCTAGAGATTCCTAAAATTGTTTCTGGTGCCCAAGATAATCCTTTTCTGCCCCACTTCTTGCTTAGACAGCTCCTCAAGTTCTTCAGACCTCAGCTTAACTTTTCCTTTCTGCAACCCAAAATCCTTAAGCCTAGGTTTGAGGGCTCTCTTACAGGTGCCTAAAGCCCTTGGAATTGAGCTCTATTCCAGCAATTACCACAATGTACTTTAGTTGCTATCTACTTATCTGACTTCACCATGTTCATCATATGTGTTGGATGGATGGAAGGATAAATAGATGGAGGATAGATGACTGGCTCAATTTGAAGGCAGAAATAATGGGGATGTAAAAGACATGCTGGGGCCCAAAGATGATGAATATTGTTATGAAATGTAGTTGGCAGCAAAAATTAACTTGAGATAGAGGAGAACTAATTAATAGAAGTAGTAGATACTACCTGAAGGGTAAAAACAAGAGGCAGTGATAAACTAAACACTGAATAATCCTAAAGTCATCATTGATTTGAATGCTGAAGATGTTTAATTATGTACCAGATTAATCTAAAATTGTGTTTTGTTGACACTTCCAGAACACAAAAAACTAGGCAAGAGAAAAAGGCAGCCCAGGAGAGATTGTTGGATAGTTTGGGAATGTAGGCTGGAATTTAGTCCCATATAGATGGGTCATAAAACTAAGAATTGCTACAGAGAGAAAAAAGGCCAGACAGGAAAAGCAATTATTTCAGTAATTGTTACCACTGTCTAGCTTCCATAGTGATACCGCCTCAGAAACCCAAGGAGGGGTCACTATGAGTTGAATCCGACTCAACAGCAGAGAGTTTTTTAGCTCTACCATATTTTTGCTATACTAAATTATTGGTCATATATTAGAGGAGAAATTCTTGGAGAAGTCATCATTACTAATGGACAGCCTAAAAACTATATATATCAAGCATTGCTCCAAATATATTCATTTACCTAATTTTTCATACTTGAATGAAAAAATTACCATTCATATTTACCACATCATGATCTTATTTACCAACTACATGTGTGTCACATTTTTATAGTGAGTACCTTTCTGAAAGATCAAACCCTCTTCTTCATTCTCATCAAATGACTGAAAAGAGAAACAAATGAAAAAGAAGTAACCATTCACTACCCTGAAAGGAATATTGTGCAAAAAGGCCAAAATGTGTCTGATGAAAGTCCACAATAGGAAAAGTATGTCTAGCTCATCCTTTATTTCTTACGTGCATGAAAACAAAGTGGAGGGGGGTTTATCTTCCAATTCTTTCTTTTATGTGTTATATAGTTGATTATTTGTATAGATTCAAAATTTAATTAGTGTAATTCTTTATTTCTGATAAAAAAGATTGTTTCATAAGTCTGGCAAATGATTTATTTATTTATTTTATTTAAAGGGCTTGAGCTTAAAATTAAAAATTCACATATTCAAATGATTTAGCAGTTATACAGAAGTATACCTAATTGATAAATAAAATGATGGTCTAAGAAATGATTTCCTCTGATTTTCTAGATGTTTTCAATAAAAGATGGTCCTTTTCCAATTGAGATATTAAAACTGAGGTCCATGACTCAATTTTCTCAATTATTTTTCAGTATATTTCAACTCAAAGAAAACAAACGGTGCTTAGTTTCACAGAATGTTAGTATTACAAAGGTATATACTTTTTCTTCAATCTTCACTGTGAGCTAGCTCTCACTTATGCAATGAATACAGTATTATTGCATAGCTGCTCCCCATTGAGCGAAATTGTCACTGAGCAACTTTCTTGCATAATCATGCTAACCAACAAGATAACATGGCTTTCTTCAGAAAAATCCCCTGTGTATAGGTAAAACAAAAAACAAAAACATACAGCATGTTTTAGCTAGTGATTTGTTACCTCCCTAAAGCAACACTTATATAAGCTAATATAATGAGTAGACATTACGTGATTCAGCTAAGCAACCCTTCTGTAAAATAGTGACTGAAGTATTTTACATGACTCGGAGATTCTTTTGGAAGAATAGATTTTACTGGAAGAAGTCCTGCAAGAATGTTCCTTAGAGCAGAGGCTTTGTCTCCTGTATTTTGGATATGTTATCAGGAAGAACAAGTTCCTAGAGAACGACATCACATTTGGTAAAGCAAAGGGGCAGTAAAAGAGAAGAAGACCTTTCACAAGATGGACTGACACAGTGGCTGCAACAATAGGCTCACACATAGCAATGATTATCAGGAAGGCACGGGACTGGGCAGTGTTTTGTTCTGTGGTACATCTAGCTTCGCTATGAGGCAGAACCTACTTAACAGCACCTAATAACAACAGAGATTCTATTAAAGAATGTTCCAATCATACTTAATCAAAGTAAGAAAGAGAAAAAAAAAACAAACTGTTTGTTGGATAAAAGAGTGGTATAATCAAATTATTGACCAGAGAATCAATCTCTAATACAGATAAGCTAGTAAGCTAGGTGTCCTATCCATAAAGAATCCATGGTCTCAAACTTGGCTGGGCCTTTTGAGCCAATCAGCAATCTTTTTATTCCCTCTGCATTTGCTTGCTGCAATTATTCCATACTTTTAACACTCTCTCAAGCTTTCTATCTCATCTGTTTTCTCTTAACTCTCAGAGAACAGTATCATCACCAATTCCATAGAAAAAACAGAAGCCAGCGTTCAGGAACTCCCTCAATGTTTTATTTCTCCATCTACTCCACCCTGGCCACATGTAAAGCATAGCTGTACCCACGATCATCACTTTTCCATTGTCAATATATCCCCCATCTAAAGTTCGGTTTATATGGGCTTTGGAGAACCAAGTGTACTTTATATATATTACCGATAATAAAACAACGATATCACTATTCTCCCCTCTTACTTCTATTACACTTGGGCTGCTTCTCTTTTCCTTTCTAGGCAAGCCTCATAAGAGTAGAAATAAAAAGAAAAAGCAAAGATTAAACACACACACACACACACACACACACACACACATACAAAACCCACCAGATTCAGGAAGTTCCTCTTCTCCAAAACTCCTAACTATAGTCTTTTTCTGTTATGTTCAAATATACAGGTGACTCTATAGCTTTCTTAAAAACTAAAAAAAAGTCACAAAATGATTCTAAATAAAAATCATATATAATACAATTAATTTTATTTTGGGTCCTTTATTGAGAACATGTTTTCCCAATATGAAGTAATTCCTACAAGAAACTACACTTTTATTTTAGAATGTTGTTCCCAGGAGCACCTTTTAGTACATCGCTTAATTAAAGTTTCTCCTGAAAGACATTCAAAAGCAAGTCTCTTGTTTATTCAGACACCTCTCAGACAGCACTGCAGTTATAGAAGTGGTTAGCAGCATAAGTTATACTCTCAAAGTGCTTCTCTACCATCCATGCTAATCAAATACCCTTTACCATGGCTTTACTATCATTAGACATCTTTTTCTCATTTTGTGTCATACTCAGATAAAATGTTACAATAAGGCTTTAGCGTTTAAATATGCAAGGAAAAAAAGGCAGAATATAAGTGTATTGACATTTGATTTAAAAATTAAGACTGGGTGATAAATCACTTTCCTCAGTAAATAAAATCTTTATCTTAAATGTACTTCAACACAAATTATGATAAGTAAATAAGAATGAACCGAGAAACTAAGATGGGAAAAATCATTCTGCTTCAGTGTTTTAGTTTCACTTCTGATAAAGGTAGAGAGAAAAAATAAAATAAAAAGAGAAATAGACAAGAAAGAGTAAAATAGAATAAGAAGGCTAATCTGTAACCACTTGCACCTACACTTCACTTGAGAGGTAGTTCACTGTACTATAATTCACTCTTGTGAATTATCTGATTAATCCCTGTTCAGAGTCTTTCATGCCTAAACTTCAGTTTCCCTACAAAAGTAACATCAGAGGCCACATTTTCTTTAAGTTACAGCAGAAAACAATTTTCTCCCTCAAATTTTGCATAGTCATAGGTTTATTTTTATTTACAGAAAAGCTTTTATTTATAAAATTAGCAAAGCCAGATCTCCAAAACCTAGTTCATTAATTCTTCAATTCTACCTAATTCTTCTGCTTTAAGCAGAAGTGTATTATCAGATAAAACTCAAGCACTGGGGCAGAATAATCAAAATAAGAAAGATATTAAAAGGAGAGAGAACATGTTTTTTAAATATTTATAAACAAAAATAAGGAGCTCTGGTAGCATAGTGCCCAAGGCACTTGACTGCTAACCAGAAGACTGGTGGTTCGAATCCACCAGCCACTCCTTGGAAGGAAGGTTGGGCAATCTACTTCCATAGTAATACCGCCTTGGAAACCCAAGGAGGGGTTGCTATGAGTCGGGGCCGACTTGACAGCACATAACAACAACAACAACAAACAAAAATAATCTTGAAGAAAGAATATAAATAGGAAATAGGAACAATCTGTCATTAACATAATTAAAAAAAAACCAAACTCACTGCCATCGAGTCGATTCCAACTCAAAGCGACCCCCTTTGGGTTTCTTTGGTAAATCTTTATGGAAGTAGATTGCCCAGTGTGGTAGTTAAATTTGTATGGTTAAGTGGCTAGGCAGCTGGTGGTAGTTATTCCCTATGATGAGACTGGCAATCAACTCCATGGTGGGATCTACCACAAGCAGCTGAGTAGCTGCCTTTGGGATGTGGTCTGCTTCCTGTATTTAAGGAGAAGCCTTGGGTATAGTCTCTAGCTTGTGGTATGCTTGGACCCTGCATGTAGCCATGTCGTTGTTCAGCAGACTACCATGCTCTCCTGACCTTGGGACTTACAATGGACTTAGATTAATGGCCTGCCATGTGGTTTGGTAACATCGGGACTGTGTCTTTTTACTTGTCAACCTTGGGCTTGTCAGCCTCAGCAGCCAGCAGCTGTCTGAGTAAAGAAACGCCTCTAGTTCCAGTGGGCCGGGAGCAGGAGGCAGAGCTGGATCCCAAGGCTGAGAGGTTTTCCCCCAGGCCCTAGAGCCTGGCACTTTGAACTAGGACTTAAAGCCTCCAAACTGTAAGAGAATAAACTCCTGTTTGTTAAGGCCATCCCATTTGTGGTATATTCCTGTCAGAGCGGCACTAGGTTTAACACCCAGTCTTCTTTCTGTGGAGTGGCTTGTGGGTTTGAACCACCAACTTCTCGTTAACAGCCAAATGCCTTAGGCACTACACCACTAACAGGGGAATTAAAAATGCTGCTGCAATTGCCCCGAACCTTCCTCTCATATATAATTTTCCCATTTGCATCTATTTATAAAATATAACTATTCTTCACCTTCTTTCAGTACCACAATCTAAGCACTGTGCTGCTGTTGTTGTTATGTGCCGTCGAGTCGGACCTGACTCACAGCGACTTCTCCTTGGGTTTCCGAGGCAGTATCACTACGGAAGTAGATTGCCCAACCTTCTTTCCGAGGAGTGGCTGGTGGGTTTGAACCGTCAGCCTTCTGGTTAGCTGTCAAGTACCTTAGGCACTATGCTACCAAAGCACTGTTCTGTGCCAAAAACTTGAAATAATTTTACATTTTAAAAAAAAATTGGAAATAGCTTTGTGTCTTCCAGTTGCTTCCAAAGATTGAATCTGAGATGGTAAGTTACAGACTGATTTATGAAACACAAGACAACCAGAGTTCAATTTCTCAATATCTGTTCTGTTGTTATTTGCCATCAAGTCAGACCCGACTCATAGTGACCCCTCCTTGGGTTTCTGAGGCGGTATCACTATGGAAGTAGATTGCCCAACCTAATTCAAACATATTTTTTGAAGTTTTACAACATAAAAAATTATATTAATGTCAATTATAGTTGAAATAACAAAATCATATTTACTCCTACCTGAGAACTCCATCTACTTGGTCTTTTGTGTAGCCTTTTCCACTTTCACCACTACCAGGTGTGCTGTCCTTTATGCAATTAGTCTTGTTCTGAACACCACTACCACCAGGTTTACGGCAATGAGGGCTATTTCCAGCTGTGCTTCCATTTTTCATAATTATTTCCAATAGTGCTGTAGAAATATACAGAAAATACACTGTGCTGTTTACATCAAAGTACATAGTACCATCTTGAGAAGAAAGTTATAAAGCAGACAAATTAAGAACTATGTTCTCAAAAAAAAATTCAGAACAGGATCTTGTAAATAGCAAGCATTCTTTTATGTGCTTGGTAACAGATCACTAATCAGCAGAAGTAGATGTTAAGAAATTTATAGCTAGTGAACTGAAATTATTATCTTTGAATTATTTATGACTTTTGTCACAATGTATTGAAACTGCAGAGTATCCAAGAAAAAGAGTGTTAAAATTAGCCAATGAGATCATCTATAACGAAACAGAAATCAGACATTCTGCTTATTGCTGAACAATAATGACAGCCAGAGACACTAGGATCTTTAAAATGCTCATAGAAAATACTATCAACTTGAATTTGCACTTTTTTTAGAAAGTATGCAAAATAAAAACATTTTTTAAACAAAGAAAAACTGAGACTAAAAGACATTCATGAGAGGCTATATTAATCTCTGTATTTTAGGCAGAAGAAAAATGCTTTCAGGTAGGTTGAAATACAAGAAGGAATGGTAAGCTAATACTGTGGTAAATGTGTAAACTAATTTAACACCGAGTGCATGAAAGAGTAACAGTTATTTCTGTGATTTGCCTTAAAATAATCTGGGGAGCACATGGGAAAAATGGATATATAAGATTGGCCATATACTGACAATGGATAAATATGGGTGGTAAGGATCAGTTATACTATTCTCTCTCTTTTGAATTGTCCCACAGGATTTTCAAGGCTGTAGATCTTTGAAGTAGACTGTTGCATCTTTCTCCTGTGGAACAGCTGGTGGGCTTGAACCACAGACCTAGCAGTCAGCAGCCACGTGCTTCATGCCACCAGGGATTCAGCTGACATCTGTACCACTAAGGATATAGATAACATAAACATCTAATTTAGCAAGCTTGATCTAAAAGGTATAAACAACATTACACTCAACAACTGTATTCAGTATTTATAAATACACAAAGAATGAAAACTGACCACATTATATCTAAACCACAAAATTATCATCTTCAAATATCAAAGAATTAGTATCATACTAACTAAGGTTGCATGTCAACGTGGCTGGGCCATGATTCTCAGTGATTTAGCAGTTACGATGTAGTCATCCCCATGATGAAATCTAATATAGTAATCACCTCCATGATAAGATCTTCTATGAGCAGGCAATCAGTTGAAAAAGTTTACTCAGGAGTGTGTCCTGCTTCCAATATATGGACATTTTGGCAAAGATCTCTGGCTTTTTGCTCAATATAGGTCCTACATCTGGCTCATCATCTTACCTCTCGTTTCTGGGCCTTAGCCACTGGCCTGTTGTACTGCCTACCAATTTGGGGACTGTTGCCTCTGCAGTCTTTAAGCTAATAGCCTATCATCTTACCTGCTGATCTTGGATTTATCAGCCTCCAAAGCCAGCAACTTGATGTACTGCCTGCTGATCCTGTCAGCCCCTGCAACTACATGAATTAGGAGAAGCCTCCAGCTTGACATCTGACCCATGGACTTGGGACTTGCCAGCCTCTACAATTACATGAGCCATCTCCTTGAATTAAGTTTTTCTCTCTCTGTCTCTCCCTCTCCCTGTATATGTAAGCTGCACTGGTTTTGCTTAGAGAATCCATGCTAAAACACATACCTACTATATCCTGAGTACAATGCATTTAAGTAAGAAATCAATTACAAAAATGTAACTAGAAAAATTCCAAATGGAAAAGAAAAAAAGTCTAGACAACTCATGGATCAAAGAATAATCATAATAGAAAATAGAAAATACTTACAATTGAATAAAAATGAAAAGACTACTTATCAAAACTTGTGAGTCATCAAATGGTGCTGGGACATCTGGATCTCCACATGCAAAAAAAAAAATAATGTTGGACCCTTTCCTCACAGGCATTGCTGTGATTTAATAAGATACTGTGAAAAACTTTGACAATAAATTTGAAAAAAAATCAGATATATTCCTAGAAAAAGGTAGCTTACCAAAACTGATTAATAACTAGCCTAAACAGTCCTATAATCATTACCATAATTGATTAAAAATCTTACAAGGGGGGGGGTAAAAAAAAACCCACAGGCCCACTTGACTTCCCAGATAAAATTCTACCAAGAAACTTATAATATGATCTTGCATGAAATCTGCTTAATGAAACTCACTACATTAAAAATATTGAACAAATAACCTGAAATGGTGGACTATAAGAAGAAGAGCTCGACATCAGGATTAGAGGAAGACTAATTAACAACCTGCAATATGCAGATAAGGAGCTTTGGTGGCATAGTGCCTAAGTCATTTGACTGCTAACCAGAAGGCTGGAAGTTCAGACCCACCAGCCACTCCTGGGAAGGAAGACTGGGCAGGCAATCTACTTCCATAGAGACACTGCCTCAGAAACCTAAGGAGGGGTCACTATGAGTTGGAATCAACTCAATAGCAGTGAGTTTCATTTTGTTTTTTTGAGTTAATATGCAGATAAGATAACCTTCCTTGACAAAAATGAAGACAACTTGAAGCAGTTACTGATGAAAATCAAAGACAACAGCCTTCAGTATCAATTATGTCTGAGCAGGAAGAAAATAAAAATTCTCAACTGGACTGATAAACATAATTATGGTAAATGGAGAAATATTGAGGTTGTCAATTATTTCATTTTACTTGGATTGACAATCAATGTCTATGGAAGCAGCAGTCAACAACCAAATGATACACTGCACTGGGAAAATTTGCTGCAAAAGATCTCATTAATGTTTTAAAAAACTGTCATGACTTCGGTGCACCTGAACCATGCCACAGTCTTTCCAATTACCTCATATGCATGTGAACGCTGGACAATGAAAAAGGAAGACAGAAAAGAATTGACACATTTGAATTGTGGTGTTGGCAAACAATACTGAATATACCATGGATGGCCAAAAAAATGAACAGCTCAATCTCACGAGAAATACAACTGGCATGTTTTTAGAAGTGAGGATGGTGTGATGTTAAGGTTGTGTGTCAACTTGGCTGGACCATGATTCTAAGTGGTTTAAGCAGTTGTGACGTAGTCATCCCCATGCTGAGCTCTGATGCAATGTAATCACCTCTATGATGTGATATGCTATGAGCAGCCAATCAATCGAAACAGAGCTTCCTCAGGGTTGTAGGTGTAGCCTGCTTCCAATACATATATGGATGTCCTGGGAAAATTCTCTGGCTTTCTGCTGGATCTGGATGCTGCATAAGCACATTATCTCTGGTTCTTGGAGCTGAACCAGTGGCCTGCTGTATTGCCTATTGATCTTGGGATTGTTGCCTTTCCAACCTGTTGCCAACAATTTGCCATTTTACCTGCTGATTTTGGATTTATCATCTCCTGAAGGCAGCGGCCTACTATACTGTCTGCCAATCTTGATCATGGATTTATCAGCCCTGCAGCTGCGAGAGTCAGGAAAAGCCTCTAGCTTAATGTTAGACCCATGAACTTGGGACCTGTGTGAGCCAAATTTCTCTCACTTTCTATATAAGCTTCACTGGTTTTGCTTCTCTAGAGAACCCAGCGTAAGACAGATGGGAAGATTTCAGCTCTACTCAGTAAAGACCAATTGCTGCAAAAGAACATCATGTTTGGTAAAGTACAGCATCAGCGAAAACAAGGAAAATACTCAGAGATGGATTGATACAATAGCCACAACAACGGACTCAAACATACCATGAAGATGGCACAGGACTGGGCAACATGTCCTATTATACATAAGATTGCTATGAGTCTAAGCCAACTTGAGAAAATCTAACAACATTAAGAAATTGAAGAACCACATAAGCATCTCACTAAATACAGGAATACAATTTCAGTATCCATTCATGGAAAAAAAAAAAAGACAAGTTACAAAAAAGTCTACAGCAAACATACTACATAATCTGCAATGATGAAACCATTCACCTTAGCAGCAGGAACAAAATACTGTCTGCTATCACCACATGGGAGCTCTAGTAGCTTAGTGCCTAAGGCACTTGACTGCTAACCAGAAGGCTGGCATTTCAAACCCACCAGCCACTTTTTGGAAGGAAGGTTGGGCAATCTACTTCCATAGTGATAATGTCTCAGAAACCCAAGGAGGGGTTGCTATGAATCAGGTCCTCCTCGACGGCAAATAACAACAACACCATCATCACTTAGTATTATACTAAATAACCCAGTTAATCAGTAAAACAAAAGAAATCAGTAAAAGATATAAGAATCAGAAAGGAAAATTAATTATGCAAGTGTTATGATTGTCTAAGTAGAAAACTCAAAGAAGCTACAGATAAATACAATTAACGGAGGGCAAACTGTTATACACAATCAGAAAATGCAATTTTAGAAAAAAATCCCATTTATAATAGCAAGTGTGTTTGTGTGTGTGTGTGTGTGTGTGTGTATAGAGAGAGATCCTAAGAATAAATCTAACAAAAGATGTGTAAACCAATTATGGAAAAATTACAAAACTTCTGTGAAAAAACTGTGTTCTTGGATAGAAGATTCAACGTCATAAAACTTTTCTATAGTTTTGAGTGCCATGAAGTGAATTCCAACTCACAGCTACCCTGTACAACAGAGTGGAACTCTCTCATAGGATTTCTGAGGCTATAATCTTTATGAGAGCGGATTGCTATGTCTTTTCTCCTACTTCCATTTGGTTAGTAACCAAGCACTTAACCATTGCTACCAGGGTTCTTCCGTAAAATTTTAGTTCCCCCAAATTTTGAGATTTAACATAATTTCATATAAAATTTCAACAGTAAAGTCTATGAAGAGAATGATAAGACAAGCAACAACTGAGACAAAATATTTTTTATCATAAAACCAACACAAATTTAGCATAACAACATAAAAATTCCTACAGGTCAATGAGAAATAGATAAAACACCCACCAGAGAAATTTGCAGACATAAAAGAAGTATTATAGAAGAAACAAAAAATGGCCACTAAA